AACAAGCATGGAAGTGCCAAAAAAGGATGCCAGACAATTGCATAAAACTGAATTTGCACTTTCTATTTCTAAAGTTTATTCTGCATTTGGGCTTCCAAAAATGGTCAGAAGAATGCTTTGAGATTAGAGTACATATGGAAAAAGCAAAACACTTCTTTATTCCTCTATTCACCAAAGAAGAGATAAGCAGTGAATCAGACCCAGGGAACAAATCACACACCAAAAACTCCTTCGTATTGCCCACCAAGCACCACAGCAACACTTTTGCTCCTGCAGCACAGAGGAGCAGCCTTAAGAAGAAAGCTTCTTTGAGGAGGACACACAGCTGTCTGGCAGACACATCACACTGGGACCCTCACAGGTCCCCTCCCAACCCCTCTTCCCACCAGCAGACAGTTTTAATGCTGCATTGAAGCTGAATATATATAGATTTATATATCAGCTAGGGAATTATAGATTGCTGGGATGGCAGTGCTTAGAAACTGGAAAATCAGGCCCGTTTCAGCTGCAAAACAACTATTCACTGGATTCATAGTGTCTGTCACACAGCCTGAACTTGGATTTAAGAATTACTGAAAAAAGCATAAAACTTATGTCAAATACTGTTTTCAGGGGCCAGAGCACAGGAATTGCTTTGGTGCTCAAGAAAATAGGGAAAAAAAGCAACTAAAATAGAAAATCAGGTAATAACTGATTATTTTGTATGGTGTCCATTACACAAATTACCAGTTTAGGGTAGCAGAGATTGCAGCCACTTAAATTTCAAACTGAAGCTCTCAGAGTTTTCAGAACACTGAATCTGGCTGAGAACAATTCTACAGAGCATCTGGAGGAAGGTACATTAAAAGATGTTAGTATGCAGGATGAAATTTTTACACAGGAACAGCAGAATAAACCACCAAACCAGAAGCAAGTGCTGCCTCAGTGAAGTAAGTGTCCTGGTTTTGGCTGGGATAGAGTTAATTTTCTCTGTAGTAGCTGGCACAGTGCTGTGGTTTGGATTCAGGATGAGAAGAATGTTGATAACAGAGTTGTTTTAGTTAGTGCTGAGCAGGGCTCACTGCAGTCAAGGACTTCTCAGTGTCTTGTGCTCTGTAAGTGAGCAGGGGCACAAAGAGCTGGGAGAAGGCATGGCCAGGAAAGCTGACCAAACTGGCCAAAGGGATATTCCACACCATAGAACATCCTGACCAGTATAAAAATGAGAGGGAGTTGGCTGGGAGCCACTGATTGCTGCTCAGGGACAGGCCGGGCATCACTCAGCAGGTGGTGAGCAATTGTATTGTGAATTACTTGTTTTTCTTGGGCTTTATTCATCTCTCTCTCCTTCTCATTACAGCTATTATTAGTATGTTTTATTTTATTTCAATTATTATAGTATTCTTATCTCAATCCACAAGTTTTACTTGTTTTCCAATTCTCCTCCTCATCCCACCAGGGTGGGGGAGTGAGCAAGTGGCTGCATGGTACTTAGTTACCATCAGGGTTTAAAAACATGACAATAGGGAATCCACTATTTAGCTACATCAAGAAAGCAGCTGTCCCTTGCCTTTGCCAAGAAACAAATAAAAACCAAAACAACAAGGAAACCAAAAAAACCCCAAACCTACAAAAAAAAAAAAAAAGAGAGACAGAGGGAAGGTGAGGGAAAGTGTGAAAACCCCTGATATTATGGTGCTGTTGTGTTTTTTTCCTTACCCTGCACCCCAATTCAGGTCACAGAATACCAAAGTGTCCCCTTGCTTGAGAGCTCTGTACATGCCATGTCCTCACACACACAACCAGTCAGCATTTCTAAGCAGGAAACAGCCAAGTTGGCTTTTCGATCCCTCTTCCCAGCTCTCAGGTTTATTAAGGGCCTGCACCAATCACGGTTTTCTCTTGGTTTTGCTATTTTACTGCATGATAGCAGTTAAGGTGCTCAATTAGAGGTAATTAATGGGTGGTGAGGGCTGAACAGATCCACAGTAGAGCGTAAGGGTAATACCAACCAATGGTGGTTGCTACTATATGTTCATTACTGGGAACAATCCCCCTTGCTTATCGCCACCATGCTCCTTGAATCTGCCAGCACAACATACTTTAAAATGCCACACAAAAAAAAAAATCTGTTTTGTCAAAGTCCTGTCCTGTCACAGCAGGGACTAAAGAAACAATAGAACTGTTATGTCAACAGATCTGTGGAGATTATAACCTGCAAAAGACAAGGGTAACAGGCTGTACTTACCTTGAAGACAGTATTGCCCTTAGACACACACACAGACGCGGAATGGAATGTTCAGCCGAATTTAACAAACTTGGTGACTGGCATACAAACTGGACAAAGTAACTCCACAGAAAATTACTGTATGAAAACTCAGTGCACTTTGGAAGAGGCAGATTTTACACAAAAATGACTGCAGTCATTTGGTCATTTTCTCCTAGATTTTTCTCACTCCCTTAGACCTTCATGCACCAAAATGTGCAGGCCTAGGAAGACTGGAAAAGGAAATGGGACCTTGCTTCCTAGTCTCCATCATCTCTTGGAGAAGAAGCAACAAACTGGGTTTTTGGTCATCATACCTCTTATCCTGTAAGCATTACAATTATTGTGGTCTTTCAATTGTATCTTGTAAACCTCTAATGAAGCTGCTGACATTTTTATTTGCTTGTTTTGAGTAACTTTATGGCCTTTATATTGTTTCTTCTGATGCTTTCACACATAGCCATCCCCATTCCTACTTCATTCAGAATAATCCTGTTACATTTTAACAGGTTGACACTGAGATCAGAACTCCACATTCTCTGTTACCCTCTCCCATTCCTGGTGAACAAAAAGCTTCTTTTAAGACATCAGTACAACTCACATCAGGGAGGAAGAAAGCATCGTTTTGGAGAAGCAGGATTCGCAGCTCATCCTCACTGAGGCCAGACAAATCATGTTTTTTTAGAACTTTTTTGTTCTCAGCACTGGTGATGTCATGCGAGTACTTACAGGAGCTGGAAGAAAACAGACAGACATATCAGTGTTTACTCCATGAGTCAGGCTGATTTAAAGAAGAACCTCAGAAAACGTGCAACTTCGGAAAAGCCATGAGAGAAAGGGGACTTGGCAAAAGTCTCTATAAACATTTAGGTGGTCCCTGCAATTAGCCAGAGAACAGACCAGACAGCATAACTCCTCTGTGAAATGCAGGAGCATTATCATCCCCATTTTAAACACCGACGTGGCCACACCACTTTAAAAAAACTTAGCAGCACAAATTTGAAGCCAAGTCTGTCTATCCCACACATTCTTCACCTCCAGTAAAATACAAGTCAATGTCACATGATCTGAACAGCTGGAGGGAAAGTTAATTTTAGAGCAATACACCAACAACACCGGAGGTTGCAACACCCTTGATTCTGTGAATGTAAAAGGTTGTTGTCCCAGGGATGGCATGTAAGAAAAGATGCAAGAGTCTAAGAAAGCAAAACAAAGAAATAATGAAGCTGAAAACAACACAATTTGTTATCTTTGCTGGCTGGAAAGTTTGATTTTTTTAAAACAAAACAAACAAGCAAAAAAAAACCAAACCCAAAAACAACAAACCAAAATGAAACAAGAAAATACAGCTTCTTCATGTCCTGCTCTCTAACACGTGATTTGATGCAGCCTTAAGACTAGACATACTCATCCAGCAAAAGTATCTGTTAATCTGACTCCAGAGTCAAGTCTATGATCTTTCAGCCTCTAGTTAACTCTTGAAACTCACCTTGTGAAAGGTTTTTTACCTCAGGCTATGTCTGATCCAATCCTTCTGTACAGACACTTGAGTAGATATTTCTCCCCTGACCCCTGCTACCTGTTGGACACATTGCTTTGTAAGCAAATAAACAAGGTTGCAAAGTCTGAAGGGCAGAAGTGTGCCATCTTTGATGCTGAGAAACAGTCTTCTAGGGCTATTAGGTGCTGTAGGCACTCAATAAATGGCTGTGAAGGTAGGTAAGCCACGGAGTACTTGAGGCGTGAGCCATCACCAGTGTTCCTCCACACTCCACCTCAGATTCCCCCAACAGTCACACAGTGAGTCCATATTTCTAAGTCAAAGGTTAAAACACTCCACAAATACAATGATAACTAAACAACTGAGTTCAATAACACATTCAGGAAAGAAAAACAAAACAATGAAAAGCTACTTGCGAGACAGTTAAAAACAAGATTAACTGGACTAAAATTGTGATTCCACTAAACAGAAGACCACAGTAACTTGTACAGACGTTTTTCTTTCCAGGGATTCTAAAACAAAAGGGATGCAAAGTCTGGAAGCAAGGCTAGATTTTACTTTATCAGTTAGAAAATTGTCTCTCTCTTGATCTATGTGGTCCACCTAGCAGTGTTTCTGTCCCCTCATTTTAATCAACCTCCCTCCCATGAAAGGCATACCTTTGCTTTATTAATTTTTAACACATACTAAGGTGATTTTAAATACTTAGTGCTATTGAGAGGACAGAGTGGTTTATCATTACTAAGGGAATCACCTCATTGCATGTTTTAATTCACAGAGTCATCCAGCACGAGTGCCTACACGCATCTGAAGGCATTTCTAACAGTGAATCCCAGGGAAACTCATCGTTCTGTCAGTAATGCAACAAACAGTAAGAAAATCTTATTATCCTTGTGGTTTGCTAGTACACTCTGAGAGACACAGCCTTTCCCCTCCAAGCTCTTCAGATCCGAGCACACATCTGTTTTATTGGAGGAAGGATCCGGTGGGGTACCAGCAGGTTAGTAACACTGCAACAGTACAAGACCTGGGGCTTGAGGGCTTAAACTGCAAATTCTTCCATCAGAGCTCACTGTTGCCACTGATTGTCACGGGAAAGCTGGGTTGTTTTCTTCTGTATTTACTTTCGTTTTCCTTTATCTTAATGTTTTTAAAGTAGGTACCACCTTTGCCTGCCCTGCCCTTCCCGGGAGTCCTCCGTATTCCGGAAGCCGGGATTGATGTACACGGGCAATCAAGCAGTGCCTCTCACAGAAAAGTCTGTAAGCGAAGCGGTGAGTTACAGCAAAACTCAACGTTTGTAACTCTCTGGAGTGAAACCAGAGGGCATGCTAGCACTTTGCTTTTTACTTTGGAGAGAAATATGTGTAAACTATTTCATCGAGATGCCCGGGGGCTGAGGGACGGTGTGGAGGCGAGTGGATTTAAAACAAAACAAAGCAATCGCAATACTGTCAAAGAAAACCAGGCTTTAGAAAACTGCCACCTACTGCGGGCACTTCGGGCTTTTACCGACTCCGCGAGGCCAGGACGCGAGTCCTTCCGGAGCCAGGACCTCCCGCCCCGCGGCTGTGCCCGAGGGGGACCGCTGCCCTCTGTCCCCGGGGTTTGGGGGGCGTCCCCTCCCTCCCCTTCCCCTCCCCTCGGCCCCCCGCGCTCACCTGGGCCGCATGTGGCACCTGCCCATGAGGTTTAGCTTGCAGAGGTGCAGCCGCTCGCAGCCGCCGCACTCCCTGCGGGCACAGACCCGCACGTCGGACACGGCCAGCACCTCGGCGCCGCCGCGCAGCACCAGGAAGCGCCGGGGGCCCGCGGCCGCCAGCGTCTCGGCCAGCTGCGGGGCCGACAGCCCGGCGTGCTGCTGCAGCTCCGGCAGCCCCAGCCGCCCGCCCTGCGCGCACAGCGCCCTGGTGAGGAAGCAGCACACGGCCGGGTCGCTCATCCTGCCCTCCGCGGGACGGCAGCGCCCTGGGACCGGCGGCGGGAGCGGAGCGGGAGCGCCGGCGGACTGGCAGCGGGCGGGACCGAAGGCGGGAGCGGGGCTCCGCCGCCCGGCCGCGCTCGGGAGGAATCGAAAACGAAAGCAGAGGGCAGGAGGCAGGAAACCGCCCAGCCTGGAGGCTTCCTTGGCTGCAAATCACCCGGGAAACAGATATGCAAGAGGAGATTGAAAGGGGTGTGGGGGTTTCGTATAATTATAGAATCACGGAGTGGTTTGAGTAGGAAGGCACTTTACAGCTCATCTCGTTCCACCCCTGCCATGGTCCACTAGACCAGGTTGCTCCAAGTCCCGTCCAACCTGGCCTTAGACACTTCAGGGATGGGGCAGCCACATTTCCTCATCTACTTGCTGACTTCTGCTCTCTCTGCATAAACCTAACATGAATCTAGTACAGATCATTAAGCATATAATGTAGGAAAAAAACCATAGCATACCCAAATAATTGTAGTATTTATGTAGCAATGCCGTTACTTTTCTTTGTTCCCAACTAACAGTCAACTGCTGATCAGTGTTGGTTGCAGCAGTGTGTGTCCTGGCAGGGCTGTGAAGCTCTGCTGGTTTTGGCTGGGGTGGGGTTAATTTTCTTCACAGTGGCTGGTGTGGGGCTGTGTTTTGGATTTGTGCTCAACACAAGGCTGATAATAGAGATGGTTTTGTTGTTTCTGAGCAGGGCTTACACAGAGCCAAGGCCTTTTCAGCTCCTTATATTGCCATGCTGGCAAGGAAGTTGGGGGTGCATGGGAAGCTGGGAGGAGGCACAGTTGAGACAGGTGACCCCAAATGACCCAAGGGGATATTTCATACCATACAACATCATGCTCAGTATATGAAGCTGGGGGTAGGGGGGAGAAGAAGGAAAGGGGTGACGTTTGGAGTGATGGCATTTGTCTTCCCGGGTCATGGCATGATGGGGCCCTCCTCTCCTGGAAATGGCTAAACACCTGCCTGCCCATGGGAAACAGTGAATTATTTCCTTATTTTGCTTTGCTTGTGTGCATGGCTTTTGCTTTCCCTACTAAACTGCCTTTATCTCAACCCATGAGTTTTCCAGGTTTTACCTTCTGATTCTCTCCCCAGTCCTTCTGGTGGGGAGTGAGTGAGTGTGGGCTTGGCTGCTGGCTGGGTTAAACCATGACAGAAGCAGAAATGCCATGTTCCTGTTAGTGTTGAAGTAGGGCTGGGGCTGGGAAAAAGCACAGCAAATACTGAATCAAAAAGATGGGGAGAAAGTTGAGGACTAAATCCATTTGAGATGAGCTTTCATACTGCAACTCATTGGCAATGCAAGTTTCAGGAACAGTAAGTATCAACTGCTCCCTCTGGATCAGGAAGTTTACCTTGAAAATAAAGTGAATGCCAGCCTGTGTTGCCTGTTGCTGATTTGAAAGGCATGTGAAACTACACAGTCACAGTCACTGCTCAGGTCATAGAGAGAAAACCACCTCTAGGAACAAGGCCAAGGTGGGACTGCCTGTGGTTTTGCTCTTTCTTTGTTGCTGAATGTTACATAGCGATCTTTTCATTGTGCACATTTCCCCATATCTGCCCCCTTGCTATGATACTTGAACAAACGAAATTATTTTTGGAAAACGATAGAAAAAGGAGAGGTAGAAGGAGAAGTTTGCCATGTTTGTCAGGTCTAGCTTTAGAAAAGTAAGTTGATAGTTCTGGACTGGTTTATGCTCTGGGTGTGGATGCATCCATTCTTGGGTTGTCAACAGATTGTTAAGGATGATAAAACTGAGATCCATACTCAAGCTAGTTTCAGAACTGACTGATAAGGTAGAAAATGATTGGAACATTGAGTCAGCAATGTATTGCCAACTTCAAGCAGTAGATAATGAGAGAGGCAAGCTGTACAATAATTTGCTTATATTTATTTGTCTTTTGTTTTTCAGCCAGTTCCAATGAAAACATGCATTTCTGCATTAATCCACTTAGAAATCTGAACTACTGGTCTGAGAGGCTTTGCTGGATACTTCGTTGGAACAGTATCATCAGCACAGAGCAGGAAAGTAAAGCAGAAAGAAGCTGCAAATGCAGTCGTGGCAAGTATGTTCTATTCTCCACTTAAATACATTCAAGAAGGGTTTTGGTTCAGACCTGAGTGAAAACAAAGAAACATTGGTGGATTTATCCTGTTTGTTGGTATGTTTTGCAAATATAAATGCCCCAATACTTGACTTCCTTACCTACTTCAAACAGAACCAGTTTATGTGAAACAACACAACTGGGTAAGGCAAAAGACATCACTGCATGGGACAGGAGTCCCAAATCGGTGTCATTTTCATAGGGCAGTGAGTGATTCCAGCCTTGAATATCAAGGCTTTGTTTAAGTTAGACACCAGTGGAAGAGTAGCTGGATTGCTGCAACCTTTTGCTACTGTTTAAAATGCGATCCCTGTACGTCTTTCTCTCTGATGTCCTCTACTTGCAGCTGCAATATCTCCTTGTTTGCCCTGCCTCTGCTATTCAGCTGACTCCGTAGTAAGTGAAATCAGCTTTCAGAGACTTGAAGTTTTGATTCATATGAGCAAAGTGTGCATGGAAATGGGGGTGTGTGAGCACCAGAAGAAACAGCAGAACAAAGGTTAAAAGAATGGCCTGTGTTGATAATCAAAAACACAGCAGTAAAGGCAGTAAAATCAAGAAACACTTTCTGTCAAACCAGGCAAATCTGCACACTGGAGCACAGACAACTCGTCAGCAGAAGAGCCTACCATCTGACAGCTGGACATGGCAGGAAGATACAGCACATCGCAAATGCCATTTATTTCCTGTTGGTCCCACTGGAAGCAAACCATAAAATAAGGAAGCACGGAAAATGGGCACATAAGTTCCATAAGGGGCATGGAGGTAGAAGTAACTGGACTGTGAAGCACAAGGATGCCACCACAGTCAGTGCTGGGTCCCACTAGCTTTCGTACCTGCTAGTGGGCAGAAAAGACCCCTCCAAGGTGGCTTGCCACTGGCAGTGAAAAGTAACACAAGAGATACCAAAAGGGTGGGATGGTTGGTGCCCATCTTCCCTTATGCTGCTTGCAATGTGGGTCCTGGAAAAACCTGTGGAGCACACACACGCCTCAGGAGCTGTGAGTATAAGGTTTTGACAGTGTGAACCAAGTTGAATATTGAGTTGCTTGACTGCAGTCCAGGATGAAGAGTCCTGCTACACTGGCTCACGTGATCTCTTGGGGTGCTCTCAGACCCTCTATGGGCTCTGCGGCTCTGCAGGGCTGGGATTGGGAGGGTGAGGGGGGAGCTGGAAAGTCCCAGAGCTGCAGCCAAGCTGAAGATCCTGCAGTGAGAATGTGGAGCAGCTTCCCATGTCGGCGATGGCAAGATGCAGAGCTGCTGCTGAGAGAGCAGAGCTGGCAGTGAAATAAAGCTTATGGGTCTGGAGCTGAAATCACTGAGGGGCTGGGGTAGGGATGGTGGCTGGGATAGGGATGGTGTTCTTTGGATAGGGACTGTAGGGCCTGAGCAAGCAGAATTGCTGATTTTTAATGCACAGCCTCAGAAACGGGGGGGTTTGGAGGTGCAGTGGTGCCTGCAGCTCCTTTGTGCCAAGGCACCAGCAAACCTTAGTCCTGCCCCTGATTTCCCAGGCCATGGCAGGGAAGGAATATTTTGAGGTAAAAATGAGGGCCTGGATTGTGGACAAGTAAGAACAACCATGAAGGTAGAACTTGGGGGGGAATGTGCAACAAAAAAGGAGTATTTTGGAGGTAAAATTGGAGGGAATCTTGAGGGGCAAAATAAACCTTCTGGCAACAGGGAACAATCAGAGCCCATGAGGGTTTGGCAACTGGCTTCCTGTGGCAGTAAGAGAAGGGCTGTCGTGGAGGGAGCAGTTTGTCCCTGGAGAGAGCACAGTGCTGGGACGGGTGAGACACAGCAAGCAGGTTTTTTCCTGCGTTGGATCAGCAGGAGGTGGAGGTCAGAGGTCGGGCGGTGGGTGCCTCCCCGTGCCGGGGTGTGTGGTGCGAGCATGCAGACAGAAAAAGGGATTAGGGCCGTTGGCGCAAGTTGTGTTGGCAGAAGGCAAAAAGTGGCAATAGTGTCTCCTGTGGTGCATTTCATCTGAGGACTGAGGTGGGTTTCAGGTGCAAAGGTAAAATGGGGGGGTGAGTTTAGGTAGTTTAGCCAAGATTTAGCCATTGTCCGAGGGTGGGATTGGAACCGTGGATGAAAAGGAAAAGGCGTTCCGGGCGAGCGCCTTCACCGCTCGGCCACGATGGGGGGGGGGCGTGGCCGCCTCCCACCGCCTTTAAGAAGGCGGGGCCGCCATCTTGGGGACCGGTGGTGCTGGGGCGGCTCGGGCAGCGCTCATGGATCTCAGCACCAGGGAGACGAGAACCGAGAAACGGCACCGCGGACAGGGGAACGGGGTAGAGGGGAACCGGCGAGACGGGGGCCGGCGCAGCCCCGCTGAGCCCGGTCGAGAGGGAAGAGCGCAGAGCAGGGAGGGAGGGGCAGAAACGCCGCGGGCGTTCGGCCCCGGCAGGCAGCGCTCAGGCCCGGCGGTCGATTCCCTCCGCACTCCGACTCCCCATGGCCTCTCTCGGCAGCGCTCGGCAGGAGCTGCCAGGTTGGCGCTAGGCTCCGAACGGGAGGCACCTGCAGCCGCTGCTTCTGAGAAATGCCGAAGTGTGGGAGGCTGAATGAAGCTCGCTGCTGGAACCAGCCAGGAGCTTCCCTGGGATTTTAGCTAATAAACACGGGGACTATTATTTCCACATGGAACAGACTGGGCATATATAATTAGATAGAAGAAAATGACTTCTTGGAAGAGGTTTTCTCCTA